AAAGAAATGGAAACAGCAAAGAAACATGAAAACATGTTCAACACCACTGGTCATTGGAGAGATGTAAATGAAAACAATACTGAGATTTCACCTCACTCCAGAAAGAATGGCTGCTATCAAGAAATCAACCAATAACAAATGCTGGCAGGGTTGCAGGTTAAAAGAAACCCTTCTCCACTGTTGGTGGGAGTGTTGACTGGTGCAACCACTGTAGAAATCTGTTTGGAGATAACTCAAAAAACTAGGATTTGAGGTCCCACTTGATCAGCAATTCCCTGGCTGGATATCTTCTCAAAAGAACTAAAAGAATCATACCACAGTGATATATGCCCACCCATGTTTATAGCAGCACAGTTTGTAATAGCTAAAACTTGGAAACAGCCCAATTGCCCATTAACTGGAGATTGTATGAAGAAGATGTGATTTTCAAAAAAATATAAAATGCAATACTACTCAGCCATAAAGAATGAGAAACTAGAGACATTTATTGATAAATGGATAGACATTAAGACCATACTCTTAAGTGAAATAAATAGGGCACACATGTGTAAATACTGAATTGTTTCTCTGGTGTGAGAAACTGAAAGTGTAAATAAGGATTCAAAATGTATAATAGAAAATGTGAAGTAAGAAGAAAAGGTCCCAAGGGGAAGGGGAAGTGGGAAGGGTAGGGGAAAGGAAAGAAGGGAAAGGAAAGAAGGTAAAGGAATATGAGATAAGGAACAAATGGAAATAAAGTCTTTATAAATAGAGAGGGCTGGAGGGGATGAAGGGAGAGCAGGGGAATGGGGAAAAAAATAAGAACCAAGATACATCATTTAAAGGTACAAATTCCCAGTGATGAATGTCATCATATTGTACACCTAAAATGTTCCAATAAACTTAATGAAAAAAAAGTTAATCATTACCTACTGTATGACACAACCATTCCACTCTTAAGTGTATACCCAATAGAAATGAAAGCATACATCCATACAAAGACTTCTATGCAAAAATTAATAGCAGCTATATTTGTATAGCTCCCAAATGGAATGGAAACTTTCCAAATGTTCATCAACAGGTGAATATAAAAACGAGTTGTGTTACATTCATGTGATATAGTAGTTCTATAATATTCTATTAGTTTTGTCCCTCTGGAGAACCAATAAGCTTCTAATCTGATGCCTCATAATTATTTACTGCTTTTTAAGATGTTGGAGAATTTTGAAGAGGTGATTTTATTTTGTTCAGTTCTTTTTCAACTGCTACATCTCTTGGAATCTTTTATCTCAACTAGACAGAACAATTTACCAAATATAGAAGTTTTTTATTAAACTCTGTTTCTTTTCTTTAGACATCTGAGTCTCATTTCCTCAAAGTTTTGTCCTAGAAAAGCTCTTATTGACTAGAAGTTCTTTTAAGATATACTGTGGGAAATGTGAGAAACTAGATATGGCCTACACTCTTGGTTTTCCACCCATCAGATATCTTTCTGTCCTTGACAATGAGACCACTATTTTATTCTTACAGTGTGTATTCACCCCT